TCTGTGAAAGTTTCATCAAATTTCATTCAGTGGTATGAGAGGAGTTGCGGATAAGAGATGGGTACCCCAAAGCGTAACAGACGGACGGACGGACAGACAGACGGACGGACGGACGGACAGACGTACAGACGGACGGAATTAACGATTACTATATACCCTCCCGCTTTTCAAGCGGGGGGTATAAATATCCTCCCTCACACATGGATGTTTTGTAGAAAATTAATATTGATTCAGTGGTTCTTAGGAAGAAGATTAAAATGTTTACGATGACGAAGGCATCGGACAAATTTTGATGTTTGGCGCAGTTAAGCCAAAACATAGATTATCCTAAGATTGTTTTTTTTCTGAAATTAGATTCTAACTCGCGCTGCACGTCTACATTATATCGCCTCTCAAAGAATTACAGAGAACGGGATCTGACATATATTTCCCTGATTCATCCTTCAACTCAATTTAGGTATGAACGAATTCATACTGACATTGATAAACGCTTTCTTCTTTCTTTGGCAAGAGATTTAAGCTAGGTTATTATCATCAGACATCTAACAGTCTAATGGTGAATTACAGCTAATAACTAGTATTGAGTAAAGTACAGAATAAAACTACAAATTTACAACTTCTATGTCTTTTATACGTCAAAGTGGGACATTTTGGCGGAAGATTCTGTTACTATATACATCTCTTCTCCTCGGGTATAATATTACATGCACTTGTAATAAAAGTACACTGGCAGAAATTAAATACTCAAAATGAAGAAAGTCACTAGGAAATGTCAGAAATAAATTAAACTGACATAAGAGGTGGTTAGTGAGTAATAAGTCATCTTTTGGTGAAAATAAAAGAACTGAAAGTACTGAAAGATGTAAATATTTTAAAATCTTTCTCTCTTGTCATTATATTAAGCAAGAAAATCTCTGTAGGATTACGACTTATTATGTTTGAACATTTTAGTGCTTATTTCGTCATATTTATATTGAAAAGTGTTTTACAACATTACTAATAGGCTGCAAATTGTCTACATTATGTTGCACATCAAATTTGATTATATTCTTGCCCGTTCTATAGCATTGTTACAACGCACTGGTAAGAAGGGGAAAATGTTCTCCCCCGTTTTATTTTCGCCCCTTTCGCCTTAACACTGGGTGAATTTAAAGGAAACATTATAATTGCTTAAAGAGAATGCTGAATGGGCGTATTGAACACGGGGCAAAATTGTTTGCCAGTGAGAAAGGGCGAAAATAAAGCTTGGCGAAAGTAACCCTGTTTATAGTAGCATGCTATGTGGCAACGCACTTTGAAAAATTGCTAGCCTAAAATTGGGACAAAATCATTGCACTTTGAGATTTTTTTCAAAGTGCCTTTAGATTGAACTTCACGATTTTTTTATCAGTGCGTTGGATATAAGTACATTATAAAATCTTTATAAATAGTCATTCAGACTTTGCTACATAACTTTTTGTTCTGTGTGAAGAGTCTAATATGCACTAGCATATAGGTTGAAGAAACCTGAATATCACGAGTTTCTCATGTTATGTCCACTTTGGCCCCACTTAAAGCTGAACTAACATACATGTACAATATGACAACTATCGTTTTCATCCAGCTTGTTCCTACAGGTCGCGATTTTTTTTTCATTCATGTAACTTCTTTTCTAGAGGTGGCGATTTAAAAAAAAAAATCAATAATCAGCCAGAGTGCATTTCTATCATCACGCGCTTAATGTTCAGAAATATAATTTCATTTCATTTTTCAAACAAAATTTACACAAAATATACCACTGACCTTTTTATGCGCTCGCAAGGAGTTTTAGAGCACATAGTATCGCTATCGTTATTTGTATTTGTGGGTACAATATAATTGAATTTTTCGACCCCCTTGTTAAGAATTTGATCTGAAAAAATCTGAATTTGTAGATTTGTAGAATTTCTAGATCTGAATTTCTGAACAGAACAGACTGTTATTTTTATAATCAATAGGGCCTATCTCTTATACCAGAAGCCTTGACCAAGATGACATGAATCTCACGATTTCGGAAGAGGCACTCTTGTTCATCATAACTATGTAGAGACATTCATAATCTTCATTACTTATCTCAAAACTCATCTCTATGTCATTAACAGAACCCCACCCTAACACCCTAACCCCTGATAAAGGGGCCATGAAGTTTAAAGTTTTGGAAGAGTGTTTGCTCATCATAACCCTGCACTTAGTTAGTTTGGTAATATCCAGGGTAGAGTACTGTACATTTTTAAAAGAATTTATGCATTTTCTGTATTATATCATAAATAGATAAAAACCCTTACACAACAACTCATGAACCATGATATGATGGTTTTTAATACCACCCCTCAGGCCCGGGAGGGGGGAGGGGGGCATGTACTTCATATTGTTTGTTCCCCATCAAAAATCATTATAATTATTTCAACAACTGATGGAAATTTGAATTAGAATTTAAAATGTAGAGCCCATATCTCTGAAGAGAAGATTTTTAAAGATGCATTGATATGATGGTTTTAATATCACCTATCAGGCTATGTTCTATTTATTTAGATTTTAAATTCACTGAATTTCCCCCATCAAAAATCATTATATAAATTAATCATTTCTGATGGAAATTTGAATTTGAAAAAATTAAAGTGTACGAGCCCATATAAAAATTTTTATTCGATGTAAGGTAATGTAAACATATCAAATTTTAAAAACCATGGAAAATATTCTTTTTAAACAAATGTATACGTAAACATTTTGATATGTGTTCAGACTTTAGTATGTTTACTATTTTTTAATTTTCAAATTCACTGAGAAATTTAAATATAGGTATGGATGCCGATTTGTATGTGATGATTGAATGATTTGAAACACATAAAGTGAAATATATAATATTTCCAAAAATTTAACTATAAAACTTTGTATAACAGAACAATAAAGCAATACCACCATGGTGTGTTTAAAGCTTGTGTAATTGATCATGTATAAAAATAATTTTTCCATGTAAGGTAAACGTTATGTAAACATTTTTTTTAACAAATGTATACGTAAACATTTTGATATGTGTTCAAAGATAAGTTATATTAATAGTAACACGCCATCTGCAAAGTAATATACTTAATGTACTTTTATTAATTTATATATTTTGTTTACCAATAAAAGAGAAAGTTAATAATTTAAATAAAATTCGTTATAAATTATCAAATTATAATTTTGATTAAAAACAAATGCTTATTGTATCAATTGCCACGTGACATTTGTAACCTTCATAGCTATTGACTTTCGGGTATTAAAGACATTAAATCCGTTTGTTTTGTATTTCAGAATGGTTTTACAAACTGGTTGTTTGTTTTGAATAAATGTCTTTTTTGTCATACTGTATTTTTTTAATTAACACCTTGAAAAAAAAAGAACTTGTAAAAGACATTAGGAAGACTACTATACTTTGTCCATAAAATCACTACCTTAAAAGTATTTTTACTTGTTATTGGGTAGATTTTCAAGATAACATTGGTAAATGTAGAATTTATGAGTAACTGTCACTAGGTATCTATACAAATCGTGAACGTGACTGCTATTCACAATCTTAGCCAGTAAACTATGGAACGCCAAATTACCATATACATGTATTCAAATAGTTGTACCTATTTTCAGTTGATTTGAATATAGGTGCAAATGACATGAATTAAAGATAATTATAGTTGATTTAAAGATAAGTGCAATTGAATTGAGCCTATCTTTAATTATTAAGATACTAACAATAACGACTACTCCCGATTAAACTAGAGGCACAGTGAGCAATGAGCTCACTAAACGATGCCCCCCTCCCATGTGAGGATATAATGGGTGTGTCCATGTTTTGTTGTGGGAAACCCAAAATGTGTGTTAGATCAAAAAGTAAAATAGGAGGTCAAAATGTAATAAAGATTCTGTGAGAGTTTCATCAAATTTCATTCAGTGGTATGAGAGGAGTTGCGGATAAGAGATGGGTACCTCAAAGCGTAACAGACAGAGGGACGGACGGACATATCGATTACTATTTACCCTCCCGCTTTTCAAGTAGTTGTACACTTCTCTCGGTGTTCAATTTAAGTCGCTGTCAGGGGGGAGCTTCCATTATTTTCAATAACAGAAAAAACAATTGAATTTAAGCTAGGTACAATTGAATTATACCTATCTAAATTCTTTTCTGGATATATATGTTTGAATTGTACTTGCCGTCAAATCACGTTATAAATTATGGAGACAACGATTATAGGCATTTATGCCTGCTGTTCAATCCATTTTATGAATTTGAATAAATATATTCTAAATCTAAATCTTCAAATCAATTGTACTTTTCTTTAATTCAATTGTACAAGTCTATCTTTGATTCAAGTGTATATATCTCAAATTCAATTGTACCTATCTCAAATTCAATTGTACCTATTTTCAACAATTCAATTAAACATGTCTTCAATTGAATTGAAGATAGGTATAAGTCCATTAAAGATAGGTGTAATTTATTTGAACCTAGGTTTTATCATTTAGAGATAGGTATAATTATTCACACCTGTCTTTAATTTATTTAGACTTATCTTTCCTTCAATTGCACCTATCTTTAATTCATTTGAAGATAAGGTCAATTATCTAAAGATAGTACAAATATTTGAAGATATTTTAATTTGGCGTTCCATAGTTAACGGAATGATGATAAGCATTTAATTTACAAGGCACATTGCCTAGTTTAATTAACTAGGTATCTCTTTCACTGTTTCAGGGCAAGGTGGTAATTATATAAACAAATACATTATGACATTTCTTTTCTACCATCAACGGTTCTATTGATCAACATGCTTTCTGTATTTATAACACTGAAAGGCCCTTAGTGCATTTAGAAATCATTTGAAATTAAGATGTTATTTAAAAAAATAACCTCCCACTAGCTCTTGTGCGTTGCAGAAGGCATTTAAGTAGAAGTTGTAGACTGACGAGTATTCTAGTGAAAAAAAACAGGTAGTATAGAATCCTTAATGGGGAATATCTGGAGAAGGTGTTTAATTATGTGTCCCCTTTCTCTTATGCACTTCCTCTGTGCTTTCGATGGCTATTAATCATCTAAAACAACTCCCTTATTAAATGTGAGCAGGATATGTCTTTACAATATAATCTTTCAAAAGGTCTATGATGTTTTCAGGTAAGTTTTATATAAAAGTTTTATAAAATTTAAGCTAACGCCATTGCTGCCTTATGTCAAATAATTTTATTATATGTTGTGAGTCTATTATTATATGCTGTAAGTTCATAATTATATGCAATGGTTCTATTATTATATGCTTTGGGTTCATAATTATATGTTGCAGCTCCATTATTATATGTCTGTATGTTGTAGGTTTAAAATTATATAAGGTGTGGGTTCATATAATATTATATAATTAATCACATGCTGTTGTTTAATATCATATGCGGTGGTTTCAATTATATGGTTAATTATATGTTGTGGTTTTATGATTATAGTTTTTGATCATTTTTTCAAAAGCTCATATCAGCACGTATACTTCAAATCATTTGACTCGACACTAACCTAGTGTTTGTCAAATAATATATAATATGTTTACTATTATTATATGCTGAAAATTCATTGTGTTTATGACACAATAGGTTATCCAAAAAGGTGTTGCAGTTCCATTGCAATATGTTTTATGGAAGGTTTTTATATATTATTATATAAGATATAACAGTTATATAAAAATTGAAATCATATGCAATGCATTTATATTTTTAAAAACATTTTTGTGCATATATAACTTGATGATTATTATATTTTTTCCAAAGTTCAGACCTAAATCATTTGAAGTGTGAATGTTTACGTTGTGATATATAAGATTACACACAGCAATTTCTTGCTGGTTATCAAAAAGGATTGTATTGCAATTTTGCAATTGTATTATATGGAAGATCTTTTACATCTCATAATAAACAGTTTCTGAAAAATTTAAATCAGCTGCATTTACTACATTTCTAAAAACATTTTTGTTCATATATAACTTGTGAAAATATCAGTTGCATATATGTCCTAACTACACATCATAGCGTTCCAGCATATATATACTAATGTTCTCATGTAACTGCGGATTAATTAAATTACTTTTCGCGTATATAGTTACCTGCGCTGATATAACATTAGTAGTTAAATGCTCTTTTTTATTTATATTAAAGAAAAAACATCGAGACAAATAGAGAGAAGGCGGCCTGTTTTTCTGCCTATTACAAGGGGGAGTTAGTGGTGGATCTATGGGGAGGATACTCGGACATTGAGGCGGGGCGGCCCTGGAAAAATGACACCCTGTCCATCATGTTCTCTTCAACCAAAGGAGTCACCGCCATCATCGTGGCACTATTCGTACAAAAGTAAAGATCTGGAATTTAAAAAAAAAATGTTTTCAAGTTACTAGTATTTTGAAAATAGTTCAGGATGTCCAGGGTTACAATTCACGCATCAGAAATGTGTACAATGGTGCACTGTATCAGTATAAAAAAATATTTAAATATCATTTTAGTTTTCAGGTATGTGAGGGTGTGTTTGGGTGTTTATAAATGGACGTGTCATATGAATAATGCAAATCTTTCTGTGATCATTAAACTGTTTTATTTCAATGAAATTAATGTCGCATTTCTCATCGATCTTTGATTTGATAATGGTTAGATATATATTAATATCTAATGCAAAAGAAGTTTTAATATGCTTCAAGGGGCTTATTTAATTGAAACGATCTTGACAACTGTAGTGTAGGAGTGCGTGGGGGGATTTACAAAACTTGACAACTGTAGTGTAGGAGTGCGTGGGGGGATTTCATTTATTGCTAAATCTTAATCAAGGAGAGGGCGTCGCCCGAAGTAATCAAAATGTAATCAAAATGAGAAAAAAATCAAGTTTTCCTTTTGTTAATTAAAAACTTGTATCACATTAATGTATTATTACCGATAATTGGACAACAACCTTGAATAACTTTGAGAGAATGAGAAAACAGAGATATACTATTGTGACGTCAGCACTATGAAACATCCAGTCCATACCACTTTTATACTTGATCAAGTGATTTAGTTTGATCCAATCAGAGAGCTGGAACAATATAGAAAATAATAGTATTTATAGACTGGATGTTTCTAAAAACAGATACTGCATCTGGTATTCATCACTGTAACTTCATAATGCATATGACATAAAGATGCCTTATATCAGAAGGTACTGAGTATTAGAAAAAAAGGATTTTAAGACATTTCTTATTAACTGATAAAAAATGATAAAACAATTGTAGCCTCTTGATTCGGTACAATCCCTCGATATATAGACCTTAGAGAAAGCATATCGACCCCGCACTTCGTGCTCGGTCGATATGCATATGCTTTCTCTAAGGTCTATATATCGAGGAATTGAGCTCATCAAAAGGCTATAATTGTATATTGTGACGTCAGCACTATTGTTGCTTCACAGAAAAAGGTTTCCAATTTTAGAAACAGCAGGTTTATAATTTTTTTAAAAAATAGAAACATCCAGTCCATACCACTTTTATACTTGATCATGTGATCTAGTTTAATCCAATCAGAGAGTTGGAACAATATAGAAAAATAAATATATTTATTGTTTTTCTAAGTTGTTAGAGAACTTGTAACCAGTTTATCCATTTTATTAACTGGGTGAGCTAGATGACCTTTGTTGGAGGTACGCTGTGATTTTTATTTCAAAATTAAAATTTTAATGGCATCAACGAAAATGTCGACCAGAGTAAATTTCGTAGTCATAAAATGTTTCACCTGTACTCTTTATTTCAGAGGCTACTTGGACTACGGCAAGCTTGTTTCCTATTACTGGCCGGAGTTTGGGAAGAAGGGCAAGGAGAATATAACTGTAGATGTGTTACTAAGTCACCAGGTACATTTGTGATTCTTGATAATATAACCTTTAGTCTCAATTTTGTATTGTTTTATGGGCTTTTGAGCTTTAATGATTGCTGTTCGTTATCTATCTCCTTATATTTCATTTCATCTCAAAACAAAAAGAAAATGATTAATTGAAGAAACATTCTCAATTTTATTCATATAGGTTTACCTTTTTATCTGTTTCTAAGTTGATGGATTTTTATAAAGATTTAAAAAATGATCTGTCTCCGATTTACACATGTAGCTATTCTGATAACAGTGATACCAATCAACGTTTATCTTTTTCATAAAAAATGTGAATTTATGGCAGATATAATATATAATCTCTCTCTTTCTTTCTTAAGAGAGAGAGAGAGAGAGAGAGAGAGAGTCTTAACAACTTTATATTACAGTGACTACCGGATAATATAAACCAACGAATAATGCATATAATTTTAGGCTGGATTGTCCATCACAGACGGCACTATCGACATCAGACTCTTAAGAACAAACCCAAGAAAGGTGGAAGAGTTTTTAGAGAATCAAAGTCCGATATGGAAACCAGGTACATGTATGTTAATGTATGCTTGTAACAGAAAGGTCCTCTTAATAGGAGAGAGTGGTTTTTTTTTCCTGACTTGCGACCTGGGTTATTGATAGATTTATCAAATTCATTCTAAGTTGTGTTTGAAAACATTAATAATAAATAAATTCTAACCGTTGAATCATGGTAAAATTTCTGTCATTAATTACTATTAATCAAGAAAATATTTCAAAATTATGAATCAAGATTTGTCATATTGGGGTAAAATTTATCCGCAGTCTTACTGGGCTCGTGTGAATGCCTAGGTGAGTTAATCATTTTTATTAGAAATTTTGCATGCATAATTAAGAACTTGTGTCATCATAAAAAAAATAAATAAATACTATTTTTTCTCAATCACAGGCACTGCCTATTCATACCACGTAATAACATTTGGAATGTTTGTAGACGTGTTGTTGAGAAAGGCGGATCCAAAACACAGAAATGTCGATCAGATCTTCAGAGAGGAAATAGCTCTTCCATTTGGTATGCATTTTATTGCGCAATTTGAAAAAAAATCTTTTTTTAATTGATTGAAACGTGTCGAACAAAGAATTTCTGAATTTACTATTAAATGTCTTATCATACCTTTTTAACCATGCCGTCAAGGACGTCAAGCCCCAAAGGCATTAATCCGAAAAAGACGAAATTGAAGTTAAAATTTTGAATATCTTTTTTTTTTTTTTTTTGAGGCGCCAAATATGCAGCTTTGCATTACTATCATACTGGATGAAAAAAATATTACTTTTTTCCACAAAAAGTGATGCTAATTTGAAATTTTTACTTGTCTGATTTCAGTTCAATTACTAGTATTGCAGTCTGGGATTGAGACGTATCAAATAGGCACTGTATTGATATCATTCTCAAATGATAAGAATTTTTATAAAGAGTCGATCATCAAAGATAATGATAATACGTATACATTAATTATTTACTTATTCATCAATTTCCTTTCAGATATTGACATCCACTATGGACTGCCAAGAAGTGAGCTGCACCGTAACTCGAGATTTGTTCCTCTGACTCTGACCAATCTTATAAAACATACACTACGATCCTTCAGTCTCCATCAACTCAAAATTTTCTTCACCTTTCTGAACCCATGGTCAATGTTTATGAAGGCCAGCTATTCCGGATTTAATCAGGAACTCACGGTATAATTTTACTTCCGTATTTTTAGTGTTCCAGAACTTAAAGGCCAGGGAAACAAACCCCCTATCCCTCTCGTTTGGGGCTTAAAGAGGCGTTGTAGGTCTCATGTAATGTTCATCAAAATTTTATACTTTATCTCATTCTTATGCTTACTATTGGTCATGCCCCTCATTTTTAGAATACATAATCAAATTTAAAATTGAATTAATCCAAAGCAAACCATTTCATACAATTCATATTCATATGAAACTATATTGTTTTTAGGGATGTTTATTTATTAGGCATCTAAGGGTTATAAAACAAGGTTGTAGAATAAGGACTTGTGTTCCAGATTGTTGTGTTGGCATCTTCATTGAAACACTGCACTTTGTTTAATAAGTGTATATATATACATTTGTGGTATCTCTCCATTATATAAACATAGAGAGAGAAAATATCTTCAATTCTGTATGAAGTTTGTCAGAGGTCAGAGGTCAATACGTGACCTAATCATGCGGCGCAATAATATCTACCGGTACATAAATTATAAAATGACCTGCTCTACTTGCTTTTCATGTATAAAAATGAATAAAATAAGCAAGTTAAATGATAATTATTTTATTTTAAATGTAAACAAGTATTTCATACAGTTTTTGGGCTATCGATTCAACCTGTGTACATAGAGAAAGCTAGGAGCCTAGCGTTTGTTTACATTTTTCTTCACTTTTGTCAAATGCACAGTCTCTAACATTCATCCTTATTTTTTGGATAGACATTTGGTTAAATTTTCATGATAATCTTTTATTTTATCTTTAAATTTTACTCACGGTAAATGTGTAAATCTGTTGGAAAATATCTTTGCAATCATGCCATGAACAGCTGCCAAACACCTCGGCGTTTTCGAAGTTCAATGTAAAGCTGTCGCCAGTGTCTCCGTGTTTATCAGTGTTTTACGATAAGTATGCCTTTAGTTACTGAAACCGTGGAATGTTTTTGATCAAATTGCAAATAAACTGGCTCGGACAAGTGTCTCAGTCCATCGGATCCATCCATCCCTTTCCAGCGACCGAAATTCCTCCAACTTTTTATCATCAAACTTCGGACGTGTTTCTTGTGTCTTTTCAGCATCGATTATCATTTTTCACGAATAAGATATTCCCAAACAACAATCTGTTCACTATTACTGATCACAGACCGTAGCCTTTCACAAAATATCCCATTCGAAATAGATTCCTTAGCCTAATGGATTTGAAGCGTAACCGCCACGCAAGCCGATTTACACCTTGCGTCATTTTTCAAAATCTACGACGGACGGTTAGTGCAATAATTTAAATTCGAAAATATTCAATTGTCTGTCTCAAATGTATATATAAGTAATAAATAACAAGTTTATAAACTTCAATGGGAATTTCTTGATCAAATCTTCTGAGAAGGCCTTCGGCCTTCACAGGATTTGATCACGTGACCGACCCACTTTTCCCATTGAAGTTTATAAACTTGTTATTTATTTCTTAATTAAAGCAGACTTAAAAATTTATGGCGGAAATTTTGGCGGAAATTGAGATGTGTTTCCTCTCCGCTACACCCAAATAACCAGTTTAATTAACGTTTTTATTTCTTTAGTTTGCTGCCTACAACAATCCAGATTTAAATCAAATTCCTTTTACATCATTCCTTGGATTCGGTAATTCTCGATCATTGGCGAAACTTTGGGGGATTTTAGCTAACGGAGGGACCTATAAGAACACCACTCTTCTAAATTCCTCTATGATTAACATGCTGGGAACCCCTTTAACAAGTGGACGAAGTGAGGACGGACTGTTTGACGTAGCGGTAGGACGAGGGGTCTTCTTCTTGCCAACACCTCAGGTTGGTCAAACTAAATTCACTCAAATTATATAAATTATATATATAGTAAAATTCAGTCCAAGAGAAAATAAAATTGATAAGTTTTACTATAGTTTTCAACCAAACCTTTTCAAGATGGAAATTTAGTTAGCCCACAGCGTAAAATATAAACTACAGTTTTATTGATGAAGGATATGGAAATAGCGAATAGTATTCAATATCAAAGTCCATAAAACAATACAAAATAGGAGCAGAGCAAACAGGGACCTCCAAAAACATCAGAAGTGGGATCAGGTGCCATGGAGAAGTGGTTTTCCTGTAAATAAACCAATATTTGATCGACAGGGGATGTTACTCCTCCATGGCACCTGATCCCACCTCTGGTGATTTTTAGAGGCTCTTGCTTGCTCTGCTCACGATTTGTATTGTTTTAATGAACTTTTCAGCTTAAGTTAAATACTGTTGGTTATCTCCATATTTCTTTGGTATACAACCATTGATAACCTACAATAAGTCGTCTGTTACAGGGACATTTATCGTTTGGACATCCAGGGTATGGTGGGCAAACGGCCTATGCTGACGTCAAGAATAACGTCGGGATCGGATACCTCACGAGCTACCTCAAGTCTTTCACGCTCGGAGACGACGAACAATTTCTCGAGTACGAAGCAGCCTTCTACGAGTGTCTGGAAAAATATATGAAAGAAACCACTTCACCTAATAGTTATAGTTCACAAAAAGAAATAGGAAAATTAGATGAATCAGTTTTGCCGACTAAGTGTGAGGATTCAAATTCCGCTTAAGAAAAGATATAATATACCTCTTTATTATATCCTGGCTTGAAGAATGGGAGAGAATTTAGTAATCGGGGTGTATGTCCGTCCGTCCGTCTGTTTGTATGTCCATCCGCCTGTTACGCTTTTGGGGTACCCATCGCTTATCCGCAACTCCTCTTATATCGCTGAATGAAATTTAATGAAACTTTTACAAAAATTTTGTGACATAATGCCATTTTGCACCTCGTATTTTACTTTTTGTTCGGACACATATTTCGGATTTTCGCAAAACATTGAGAATACCTTTCTATAACATTGAAGGGCATAGGCATCGGAACCGATGGGAGAGGGGGCTTAGTCCCCACACTTTTTGGCAAATATATACATAATATAGGCATTGAAAATTGAAGTTTACCTTTTATTGTCGGTTTAGTCCCCCCCCCCCCCCTTTTCAATTTGCTTCCGACGCCCATGAAGGGTACCCATCTCTAATCCGCAACTCCTCTATACCAATGAAGAAAATTTACCGAATTTCACAGATTCTTTCATTACATAATGCCATTGTGCACTTTTTTATCGTCACCAAGAGTAAAGCATGGACTTTGTCATTATAATCATATGGGAAGCGGGGGTATCATTTAATGAGCTCAGTGCTCACAGTACCTCTAGTTAGTCTAGATTCAATATTTAGAACCATTTTTGGGTTAATGAAAAAAATAAATCTATAGCGATACACCTCCGGTACTCGTGAAAGAAATAGTCGCCTGCATTCTCCATGGTTAAAGTATGATTCAAGTATTTGCTCTAAGGTCGTAGAATAGGGATTTGATTTTGAATCCCACTACAGGACTATGAGACTTTGAGACCGTATAAACGTAGGTCCCATATCCCATAGGCAATCTCCATGTAATTCTATAAATGGCGAATGATATATAAAAAGTTCAGCGGCGGATCCATGAATATCAGATCGGAGGAGAGTAGAAGGTGAGGTTTTTTAGGCATTCAAAGCCCCTTGAGGATCCAAGACAAACCCCTGGTGTGGGTGGCCCAGAAAACTGAGGAAATTCTTTTTTTTTAAAGAAATCAGATGTGTTTTCCCGCTGATTTTAGGATAGTGCAAACAAAATTAAAAAAAAAAAATATCAAAGCGGGGTGGGGGGGGCACCCAGCGCTTGAGCTTTGGACCCGCCTTTGATGTCTACCCCTCTATACAGACGGGTAAACCTATTCACCGGTATACATATATATATCATGTGCAAAATTACATGAGGAGCGCCTATATGATCTCCCGCTGCTAAATGGCATCGACGAGGTCTAATATTTGTAGACCTCCATGATGGCATCTTGATATGAGTGAATAATTCTCGATAGGAATTCAGAGAGAGGAACGAGCAACAACTCTACATATGAGATTATTATACATGAAATATTTTACGAGTATAATCCTATGTTCTCTGTGATAATATATTTATATGTGCAATACTAGTATTGCAATACTAGTATTTGAAACTATATTTTATATACAATATCTATAAAATATACAGTATTAATACAATATCTATGAATAGTTTAAATACTAGTAATTACCGGTGTTGTATTTTTTTATCAATATTTTATATATTATACGTTTATGAAGTATATCAAAAATAAAATTTCATGATATTTTTATCATGCAATATTAAGCTTGCCAGGCACGTAGCATCGTTTTTGAAAGTGGGGGGCCAACCACAGAAAATTAAATTTACTTACCTGAAAAAGTTGACAAACATAAAAAAAAATTTAAAAAAAACCGAAAAGTTAAAATGTCGCCCAAAGTCGAAAAAATAAATTTCTTGAGGGGGGGGGGGGGGCTTTCCTACAATTCCTTGATAACACTATACTGTGGTAAAAAGTGGGGGGGGGGGGCAACCTTCCTTTCAGTGAACATTTCCTATAGTAAAGGTAATGTTGGCCAAAAAAGTGGGTGGGGGGGGGGGGGTGCCCCCCCCCCCCCCCGGTTGCTACGTCCCTGCTTGCTACTTGTTCATATATTTATCATTTTGTAAAAAAAGAAAATAATAATGATAAACACAGGCCTTATGATATAGAAGTTTTTTTTTTCAATTGGATCACCGAGAAACCACCGAAAGATCAGTATGCCGCTGGGATTCAGCATTGTTTGTTTTTAAATCAAGGGGAGAGAGATTCCAACTTCTCCTGGTACCAGATTTTATTACAATGAAGCGCATTGAAGTGGTAAAATTCTCCGTTTGGATGAAAAGTTCTGAGTCATATTTTGAAGGTCAATCATAACATAATGACACGCCCATATTTTTAGAAACGAGAAAGTAATATTCGTCGTAGTTTTAGGACATCCCATTCTTCGCGACAAGCATCATGAGTTACATGAGCTTTAAAAAAATTAGAAGAGGGAGTTAGAGACTCCCCGCTTCTGTTAAACACAAATTGCAACGAATATGTACATATTTTTGAACTTATCATGTCTATTGAAGTTACCACAACACATGTTTCGGTCGAACACGTGTTTACTCGGTGTTTATTTAGATCCTCAATTTGATTGGCTATTATATTTATGGAAAACCTGTTCTACAGGTATTTGAAGAAACAACTTGACCGTTTTATCAATTTCTAAAGAAATGGGCGTGTCAAAAGATGACTATAAACACTCTAAATATAGCTCAAAACGTTCCATTCGAACGGAAAATTTTACCACTTCAATGCGCTTCATTGTACATCTTTACCATAGTGAACATTTTGAGACTCATTTTAACAAAGCGCCGATTGTAGAACAGTCAAACGCGCTTTTAGCTCACCTGAGCTGAAGGCTCAAGTGAGCTTTTCTGATCACATTTTTTCCGGTGTCTGTCTGTCTGTAAACTTTTCACATTTTCGACTTCTTCTCAAGAACCGCTGGGCCAATTTCAACCAAACTTGCCACAAAGCATCCTTGGGTGAAGGGGATTCAAGTTTGTTTAAATGAAGAACCACGCCCTCATTCAAGGGGAGATAATTGGGAATTAATGAAAATTTGGTGGTATGTTTTAAAAATCTTCTCAAGAACCACTGTGTCAGGAAAGATGAAACTTATGGGGAAACATCCTCAAGTAGTGTGGATTCAAGTTTGTTCAAATCATGACTCCCGGGGGTAGGGCGGGGCCACAATGGCCGACCAAATTTTTACATAAAAATATATAGGAAAATTCTTTAAAAATCTTCTTCTCAAAAATAGCCAAGCCAGAAATGATCATATATTTATATGGAAGCATTCTCAGGTAGTGTGGATTCAAGTTTGTTCAAATCATGCCACCCGGGGGTAGGGCGGGACCACAACGGCCGACCAAAGTTTTACAGAGAAATATATAGGAAAATTCTTTAAAAATCTTCTTCTAAAGAATAGCCAAGCCAGAATTGATCATATTTATTTGGAAGCATTCTCAGGTAATGTAGATTCAAGTTTGTTCAAATCATGACCCCCGGGGGTAGGGCGGGTCCACAAGAGAAATATATAGGAAAATTCTTTGAAAATCTTCTTCTCAAGAATAGCAAAGCTATGATCAGTCATGGGACTACTGTTGGATTTAAACTTTTCAATAGTAAACCAATTTCTACTTTTTCCTAGCAACACTTCTCAGGTGATGTGGCCCATGGGCCTCATTTTAACAAAAGATTCAACCTGCAGTACACAAATATCCATATCATCAAAGTTTAGTTTTGCGTACAAGTATGTAGTAGTGTTTAGATACATGGTTCTGCTACATTTAGTGCCTACGATTGGATCCAGGTATTCTCTGGCGAGTGAGAGTGATTGCTGTTACTTAGCCCCAAAAGTGTCAGCAAGCCAAAAGAGATGAGGACATCTCATTCTCTGGAGGGGGACAATGTAGTAGTGTCAGGTATATGTTAGCTTACTAGCTTGGGTTCGCGGGTTAGCCCTTTAGCTCAATCAGTAGGGTACTGGAATGGTATGCCAGAGGCCTTGGGTTCAATCCCTAGCAGAGGCAGTTACATGTCTCTGTTACACTGAGATGGGAAGAAGATTTTGATTTTTGGGTAAGTGAGTGGACATTGTAACCATAAGGAATTGGACACTTGGTCACCGAGATACGTGTTCTTTCTCGTCTACTGAGCATGGAACAGAAACACATTACATGTATGTTATGTATGTAGAATATGTATATACAACATGTAATAATGTTCATGAACTAAATTACCTAATGTCCATCAATTTTTAGCACCCAATGATAAATTTTGATTCCCTTGATTGACAGGGATGCACAAGTCAGGTAAATCTGAAGGTTAATTATTATCTCAGCCTTTAATTTTATGGTTTGATCAAGTCAATGAATGCAATTCATAATAATGCTAAGAATATGGTTTAAAATACATGTACTGTCAAAACTATTTGGTCTCAGTCCATTTTATTGTGAAGCAGAAAGAAGGTTTATGTCTGGAAAGTGGAGATGAAAATAGGATTGGGTCATTACTAATCTTTTTATTATGCCCCGCCATGAATATGGCGGGGCATATAGTGTTTGTAATGTCTGTCTTCCGTCCTTTCGTCACACTTTGCGTTTCGCTCTGTTCAAAGCTAAGTTTCAAAGAAACTATCCAAGATATTTTCATCAAATTCATATGCTGATAGATATTGATGAGAGCTATGCAACTGCATCAACAGTTTTTGACCTTGACCTTTCCTTTGACCTTGGTCTCACTTTTCTTAAATGAGTGTTTAGCTCAGTTTTAAACATACCATTCAAGATGACGTTATCAAACTTCACATGTTGATACAAACTTGCATGGATGATAGTTTTTGGAGCAGGTCCATTCCTAAGGAACTATAAGCCCTACTTGGACCAAACTTGCATGGATGATGCATCTAGAGATGGACACTACCAGACTTGCTTCGGATGCTGGATCTGACCTACAATTTCATTCCCTAGTAACTATAAGCCCTACCTGAACCAAACTTGCAGGAATGATGCATCTAGGGATGGACACTACCAGACTTGCTTTGGATGCTGGATCTGACCTATATTTTCATTCCCAAGTAACTATAAGCGCTACCTGAACGAAACTTGCATGGATGATGCATCTAGGGATGGACACTACCAGAGTTGCTTCGGATGCTGGATCTGACCTATATTTTCCAAACAAGCAATTCAGCTGCATCACTATTCAAGATATTCTAATCAAATTTTATACACATACAAATTTTCATGTTGCTTTACTAATATATCCTCAGCGGGGCATTCATGTCCTATGAACATATTTCTAGTTTTTCAAGTACCACTGGGCCAGAAAAGCTTTATTGTATGTGGAAGCATCCGGGGGTAATTAAGATATTAAATTGTTCAAATCATGATCCCTTGGGGTAGGGCGGGGCCACAATAGGAAATACAATTTTCACATTGAAATATAGAAAAATCTTTTAAAATCTTCACAACCACTGGACTAGGAAAGCTGAAACTTATTTGGAAATATCTGTTAATGTAGATTCAAAATTTCCCAAAATTACCATCCCATGGCATAGTTTGTGCCACCATAGGTATTGCAATGGAAGGGGGGAATGAAGAACAGCATTGCCAAGTTTTTTTCAGGTAAGCACTGTGGTCCATGGAGCTATGTTTAACAAATGTTTCTCAACAAATCAGATTCAACCAATTAAAATGAAAAGTATAAAATTCATAGCTATGACATATTTCATTCAGAAGCAACCTTTTCATGCATGGGTCGAGGAATTTTATTTTTTTTTTTCGGAGAGAGGGGGTACTGGTCTTTAAACAAACGTGACTCTAAATTTGTTTTTGTTTTAGACAGAGTGTGGGACAGGTCATTTTCCAGCTAAATTCTTGAGAGTCCCATGGAAGTTTGGATCCCTCCTCCCCAAGGATCCCAGTCACCCTACTTAGATCCTCGCGTTGGGGGGGGGGGTTATATTTAGGTCAAAATGCTTTCTTTCTTATCTATGACTTTCCTTAAATTCTATGGTTAAATCTAAACGAATTAGATTCATAGGGAGTCTAGGCCGTGCTTTTAATGTTGAAATATGCTGATTTGGTATCCTGCACTCAAAATTAGCACGCAATCAATATAAAAGATTGGTATGCTAGTATCTAAGTATATCAATAAATATTTTATCATTTACATGTACAATTTATATTCTGTTTAAAGAATAAATACGTATAACATATAATGCAATTTTAAGTAGTTTACTAAAATACCCACAAGATTTGTTTTCCTACAGTACACTTAATTTCGACGAATTAAGCAATAATGCGAAGGAGGAAAAAGAATATCTGTTGAAATCTGCAATACTAGTATACAAATAACAAAAGATTAGTGTACATGCGGCCTTAGTTTATACACATTTCACGATTTATTGACCGCGGTAGAGTAATGAGTGAGGAATAATTAAATCACGTGAGTATGATCTTTGAACATAATTCACCGATTGAATTCACAAAGTAGTAGCAGGTAAATGCGCTGCAGTCTTGCAGATCATTTCATATACAATTTTTCAGTAGAAAATGCTTTACAGGGGCCTAGAGATGATCAAGAATTGAGGTAAATATTCTAAACAGCCGTTAAAGCTGTTGTAATAAAAATATTTTTAAAGAATTGATTCAATTTCTCTAAAGAAGGTCGTGTATTTATGACATTCCCGCCACTTCCAAAGTTAACGTTATTTTCGCTGGTCAGTGGTCAAACGACACGACTCCCAGATCTTCTTAGACAGTTGCATGTAGGTTTACAAGTAACACAATATACATGTAGTTTTATTTTATTTATAGTAATATAATTTTAGGGGAAAATTGCACGTTTATGGATTACACGTGCATGTATGTGACATGTACATATGTGTGGTATGTATTT